ACGATACAAACCTCAATCATCAGACAAACCATTCCAAGGCCCTTCACTTCCAGTATCGTCCTCCTTTCAAAATCAACAACAACGCTGCCAACCCTTTCGACGGTCTCAGAAAAAGGGTAAGCAATACCAATAAGCTTCAATTACCATTCTACCATTCCCAAACTTGATTCCGAACAAGACTAAGCCCATTCTTTCATACATGGCAAGCTAGAACTAATGATCAATGGGTCCTCTCTATCATCAAGTATGGTTATTTTATAGAATTTACATCTCCTCCATGAATTGGAAGAATCAATTCATGGAGGAGATGATTCTACAGTCCTTCAAGAAGAAGTCTCTCTTCTTCTTCAAAAACAAGCTATAATCACAGTTCCTTCATCTGCATTATGGCTTTTATTCAAGATACTTTACAGTTCCCAAAAAAGATGGAGGAATTTGTACCATTCTCGATCTCAGACATCTTAACAAATTTATTCGAGCCCAATGCTTCAGAATGCTGACATTAGACACTATCATTCCTCTACTTTCGCAGGGAGACTGGTTTGTCGTGATCCATCTCCAAGATGCCTACTTTCCACATATCCATTCATCCATGTCATCACAAATATTGATGGTTCTGGTTTGACAGCACTACATACCAGTTCTGCTCTCTTCCTTTCGGTCTCTCTATGGCACTGAGGACCTTCACAAAATGCATGGCACTAGTTGCTGCATATCTTCAACTTCAAGGTATAACATATTTCCCTACACAGACGACTGGTTAATAATCTCAACGTTCTATCAGGATGCCATGAGAGCCACAAACCTCACTCTCGACATACTTCGAGATCTCGGCCTCAAGGTGAATCTTGAAAAATCACACCTCGAACCTTTCCAAAAGGCCACTTACATCGGATACCTTTTTTATTTTCTCCAAACCAGAGCCTTTCTCCCACAAGAAAGAATCCTCAAATTAAAAAGGGGCATTCAACCCTTTCGACCACTAGCCTCCATATCAGCCCATCATGTTCAACATCTTCTCAGACTTATGGCATTGACAACTTCAGTCATACAACATGCTAGACTCAAAATGAGATTGCTTCAATAGTGTTACCTGGCCTTATTCAATCCCATGACAGACCACCCATCTATGAAGCTAATAGTAACACCCGAATTAGCCTGCCAACGCACCTGGTGGACATTCCTCCCAAATCTACTCATTGGATGACCATTTATGCCCCTTAAACCAATGGTACAAGTTATCACCGATGCCAGCCTGTTGGGATGGGGAGCACACTGCCTCCGTCACAAGATTCACGGCCTATAGACAAATCAAGAAAAATTGTTACATATCAATCATCTCGAACTTCTAGCGATTATCAGAGCCTTTCACGCTTTCCTGCCACTCATTGTGGGACGTGCAGTTCAACTCATCACAGACAATACTACTGCCCTTTATTACGTGAACAAGCAAGGAGGCACTCATTTTTTATCCCTCCTCTACTTTACCATCGAGCTATGGGAATGGTGTAGTGGACCCTCGAATTACAGACAGCTCGACTTACAGACTTTTTGAGTTACAGACTTCTCTGGCCGCAAAATTTAGATTCGACTTGCAGCCTGAGAATCGACCTACAGACCAGAAAAAAACAAAATGGAACCAAAATGGAACAAAAACAGCCGGTTATGGGATTAATCAGTTTTTAATGCATTGTAGGTCAATGGAGACTCGACCTACAGACTTTTTGACCTGCAGCCACCGTTCCAATACGGATTAATTCCGTAACTAGAGGGTCCACTGTACCTACATCACATCTTCCCCATAGCAGTACACATCACTACGGAGGAAAACTACATTGTAGATTATCTTAGCTGTCTGACATCGAGAACTCACAAGTGGTCTTTAGACAATACCATCTTCGACCTCATCTGCCAATGTTGGGGCACTCCAACCATCAACGTCTTTTCCTCAAGAGCAAATGCCAAGTGCCAAATTTATTGCTCTCGAGCCAGAGTCGACAAGAACTCTATAGGAGACACATTCATGGTAGACTCAGACAGAGATCTACTTTACCCCTTTCCACCAATACCACTCATACAAAAAATGATCATTTGCCTCCATCACTTCCAGGCCAATGAGATCCTCCTAGCTCCATTATAGCCCAGGCAACCATGGTTCACTCACCTCAGGTCGATGTCAACTGACTCATTCCGGCTCCCTCTCATCCCCAATCTTCTCACACAAGACGACAGGATGATCTACCATCCAGACATACCATCTCTGAATCTGACAGCCTGGAGGATACTCCCGCAATAAAAGACGTCCTCAATCGAGCTCAGAAGCCCTCAATCCAGCTCATGTATCAAAATAAGAGGAAAGCATTCCTCTCCTTTGCAGAATCAAGCAATTTACCTGCATCACCAGTCTCCTTGAAAGGTTTACTCACCTTTCTTCTTCATCTGTTCAACTTTGGACTGTCCCATTCCTCCTTAAAAGTCTATATTTCAGCCATCATAGCTCATCAACCAACCAACTATAAATCAGCTAAACTCTGCTCATCTGACCGTAAAAAATATTCTCAAGGGACTTAATAATATTTGTCCACCAAGACAACGTATTGTTGCTCAATGGTCTTTAAAACTGAGTTACTCTTTCAATTGAATGTCTGACCATCCAGGACAGGACATTCAGTCAAGTCTCCAAGCTTTAGACCTCTCACCACTCACCATTCAGTCTATCTCTGGAGTAAATTCCAATATGTTTACCTTCTCTGGAATAAATTCCAATGTATTTACTTTGACCCAGTCCATTCTAACACCAAGGAAACATGGAAGAATAATGTCAGACCCTTGATTCAGATGTAAAGAAGAAACAGAATTTAATTTAATTCACACAGAGTTGCTCCAAAACTCTAGATGATGTTTTTCCCTGTTTGATGCAGTTGTCAATAGCTATGGGAGATGAAAAGGCCAAGTTTTCCCAGCACCGTTTTCTGGACTCTGTTGCTGTTCATTCGTTCGTTCAGTCGTTCAGTCGTGTCCGACTCTTCGTGACCCCATGGACCAGAGCACACCAGGCCCTCCTATCCTCCACTGCCTCCCGGAGTTGTGTCAAATTCATGTTGGTTGCTTTGATAACACTGTCCAACAATCGCATCCTCTGTCATCCCCTTCTCCTGTTGCCTTCAGACTTTCCCAACATCAGGGTCTTTTCCAAGAAGTCTTCTCTGCTGCTGAGCTAAGGATAAATGCCTCTATTCCCGACTACTGATTAGAAAGGTACCATGATTAGTGTCAACCTTGGCCAGTTACTTCTTAAAAACCCATTGTTAGTAAAAAGATTAACAATGTATGGTGAAGAAGAAAAAATTAATATCCTGTTTCATCACTTTAAAAAACACCCTCCTAGGATTGTCAAGGGAATAGCATGAAACTAGACAGATACCTCTAAAAATGTTTCAGAATACCTTAAAAAGTAATGAGAAAATGATATTACTTACATCAAAAATGAATACTGTTCTCACTCATAATGTTTCTTTTTGGAATGGAACTTCATTATGCACCCTCTAACTCTTCCCCAAATAATTTATTGGTTGTAACTATATTAACTTGTAATGTGTTGTTTCCACGTTTTGTTATATGGTATCAGAATTTGCCAAGAAATCCAGGAGAAACAACTAGGTACCTCCATTTCTACTTTTTGTTTTAACGCTCTGTTTCCCACTCCAAATCAGCCCAATTTAAGTGTTCTCTCTGAACTCAGGTACGGTTTCTGCATGGTATGAACTTAGTCAACTTCAGCGAGGAGACTAAGCCATGTATTGTTGCATTCAGACAACCCAGTCTTCCAGCTTCTGAGCAGCACTAAGCATGGTTTTCCAAACAATTCCTGCAACCATGTTGATAGATTGCCTTGTACTTCAATAGCTTATCTCCTGGTGCTCTGATGGTGGATCTTCTATTCAAGCCATTTTTATATTAAAGGAAAACCACATATTTGTTTTATAAAACTGCGCATTGGGAAAAGAGTTGTGGAGTTCCTGTTTTTAAAGTTCTTCAACCAACTAATGAATTTGGTAGAGACCACAAGGAGTATTGGAAGTAACATGCTATCAAGATTGGCTTTATTTCAGTAAGCCATTGACTGGTCTTTGGGAAAACCTTTAAAAAAAGATGGGGTTGTTAAATGAAACATTCTTGAGTACCAGTGGTGTTCCCTACGTGCCTTTGTAACTTTGTTATTGGTTTTGAATAGCTTCACTCCTCCATTGGTCATATGGAAAAATCTTCATCAAATTTTTGATACAAATTGTGATTATTTTATTATTTATTATGATAGGTTGGCTATTTTGAGAATAAATCAGCCAATTTAACCATGTCTTCTTGTCCTTTAAGGAAAACTTAAGATCATCTTATTTTCCTCCTGCCATATATGCATGATCTGTACTCAAAAGAACCTTTGTGTTTTTGTTTTCTAGGTGCAAGATTTATTACAAAGTGTACCATATTTGTACAACTTTTCCTTAAATGGTTTAATGGCTTCTTCCTCCAATGAAAAACAGAACTCTTGACATGGATGAATTTCATTGGCTGTTGGATGTGAGGGGGGACTTCAGAACCATACTGATACACATAAAGCTTCCACAACATTCTATGCAAATAAGCAAGAGCACTGCTGAATGAGCACGTGATGGCATCACGTGGAGTGACGTCATAGAACCACGCCCCTCCATGATGACGTCACAAGACAAATTCACGCGGGAGTTTCTACTTTTGTTTGTGGAAGATATGTCAAGGCAAGAAAAAGAAAGTAGAGGCAACAGGTGAGTGATTGAGGCTAAAGGAAAACTCTAAAAGGACTCCTGGGGAGCTCCCAAGAAGCTATACTTTTAACACCATCCTCCTGCAGAATTGGTGCTGATGGAGGGAGCCAATGGGAGTCTTGGACCAAGTGTCTCCCCATTGGTCAACTCAGTAATATGCAAATGAGCGGGAACGTCATTTCCTGGGACAAATCGAGCGCCATTTTCTCTTTCTGGCTCTGGAAGGAGGGAGGAGTAGCCGGAGGTGGGAGGTAGATGGGAGCGGGACTTTAGTAGTGGTGTGGAGTGGCGCCCGGTCGTTAGTGCGCGGTCGGGCAGGCTGGCAGCAGAGCAAAGATGCTGCTGCGGCCGGCGATGCTGCTGCTGCTGCTGCCCGGACTCTGAGCTGGGGCTGCAGGTCGAAACTCGTAGGTGGAGCCGGGCGGGGCGGCCGCCGAGTGAGTGACCGACCCACCCTCCGACCAAGCGGCAGCAGCAGCCGGAGGAACAAGAGGAGGCGGCCCAGGTTGCGGCGGGAGCGGCAAAGCGCCCGCGTGTCTTAGGGAGGCGCAAGCGACGAGGCGGCGGGCAGCAGGCAGGGGGCGCTCTCTACAGCCCGGACAGGTAGGTGCACCCGGCGCCTGGTCTTGGCCGCGGCCCCCCCCTCCCTTCTCGGGGCGCTGCTGGCCAAGCCGGAGGCCACGACCAGCCTCATGGGGGCGTCCTGCTCTTTTTCCCGCCACCTTCCGCTGGAAAGCGCGTTGGTCGGGAGCAGGGACTCTCCCGCCGCGGATGCAACGCAGGGTGTCCCCCTCTCTCGTGCCCGCTCGGCGCTGCGGGGCGGACAGTGTCGCGCCGTTTCTTGGCAGCCTCTGCTTTCCTCCTCCATCACACAACACCTCGTCTCCCTCGTTGGCTTTCCTTCATTTAAAACTTGAGCGATTAGAGAAAAAACATTCCAGCTCTTTTGACACAAGGGCGGAAGAAGTGTCTATTCTACCCCGTGGTCACAACTGCGAAATTCATTTTGAGAGATGGTGACACGGGTTGTTTATTGTAGAAAGAGATGATAAGAGTAAGAATTAGGAAGTGGTATTCATGTTGGAGCTGGTGCTGTTTGTATGCGAGTCGCTTGTATTTTGTGATACTTCATTAGCTCCCATAGTTGAGGATTGGCAGATGCCTAACTTTAGGTATTTTGCATTCTTGCTTGGTAGATGTCTGCTAGGGCACAACTGGGTTTGGGCAGTCCACAGTAACTGATGCAAGCTGTTTTATCTTTCATATAGCAGGTATCATCTGATTTCCCCCCACTAACTGACCTACATTCCCATCCATAAATGGGAATGCCTGTGTGATGACTGATATTCCAGCAGTATAGTTCAAAGTGATTGTGAGCTTTCTTATACCCAAGTTGAAAGTTAAAGAGTTTGTAACATCTGAGACTTGCAAGCCTTGGCTAACTTTTGCAAAGGCAAAGAAATGACTGCCTTTTCTCTCTTAATGGTATATTGTGTTCAAAGTGATTGTGAGCTTTCTTATACCGAAGTTGAAAGAGAGTTTGTAACATCTGAGACTTGCAAGTCTTGGCTAACTCTTGCAAAGAAATGACTGCCCTTTCTCTCTTAATGGTGTATTGAACTCTTCTGTGAACTGCTTGGAGAATTCCTTGATGAGTGGTGGCCTAGACTAGGACCTCCCAGTCCTGGGTAACTCAGGTGTTCTTGGACTGCAGCTCCCAGAAACCCTGGCCAGCACAGCTGGTGGTGAAGGCGCTTGGGAAGTGCATTCAAAGAACACCTGAGTTACTCAAAGTTGAGAACTACTGGGTTACATGGTGAGCAAAAAATAACAGAGTCTCACAGTGTGAATGGAAGTGCCAACTAGAAGGAAGTAAAACTGATGACAGAAGTTATCCCAGCCTCCTAAACACTTTCAACTTAAGGTAGCACTCCCTCTCCCCCAGTAGTAGTGCTGAATAGAATAGACATTCTGTTCTGTGTAGTCTTTATGTAGAGTTCATCTCATTTGTCAGTAATATTTTAGAAGCATCTGAAGCTGCTGGTGAGTTGTACGGAAACAGGCTTCCCTAGAAAGTTAGAAAATATGTGTGTTGTCCTTCTGTTGTTGGTTGAATAGAAAGTCCCATGTACAGTATAATGTAAAGCATGAACTGAGTTGGAAATTTAGAAGTGGTTGTGGAAAACATTGTGTAGAATACATGTAGCAAAGTGTAGCCCTTGAAGGCCTTCAAGGGATGGATGGATGGATGTCCTTGCCAGAGATTAAAGAGCCCTCCTAGCATGTAAATTGTTTGGCAGGCTTTAGGAGAGGAGCTACAGCCTCTGTATTCATATCACAGATCTCCCTTGTGTGTGTGTGAATAGGGGTGCTAGCCATGGCCATGCACACCACCAACATTCGGCAGCCTTCCTGTTCACCTGTGCATGCAGCCTTGGAGCAAAAAGGTTGCTAATCTTTGATTTAGAAAAAAGTGCAAATCTGTAACATGGCTTAGATCTGCTAGTTTGTAAAATGTCTTCATGCTTGTTGTGTTTAAGCATTCACAGTAGTTCAGATGGTTCAGTAAGAATGGCTTTAGAACACTGATTCTGAAACTTTTTTTTTGGCATAATGCCGTCTTTGATTTTTAATTCCCAGATGTTAAATGTGTAATTAAAAATAAACATGTACAAAAATTACTTCAAAAATAAATGCAAAGGATATAACCAATTTCCATAGTAGGTGTTATTTAAATGTAACATGGCTTAGATCTGCTAGTTTGTAATTCCATAGTAGGTGTTATTTAAACAAAAATGAATAGGGATGGTATGTTTGCACATTGCTAAACTCCAGGTTTATCCGATCCTCTACATTCTTTTTCTAACAGCGAACACTCCCTTATCTACTACCTTATACATATCTTTGTTTAACCCTTTCCATGATCCCTTTCGCAGGATATGGGCTTCTACCCTGCCCTCATTTCCATATGCTTGATTCTCATGCTTTTCCTTGTCATTTATAATAGCTGGCTGTTCTGTTTTCTGCCCAGCAAGGATTATTACATGTCCCTTCTACCCGACCCATCTGTGAATACAGTTGACCATGCAATTGTGGCAGGAACTCCTAAAGAGGTCCATCCTCTGAAACAGTGATTTCCAACCTTGGGCTCCCAGATATTTCTTGGACTACAACTCCCAGAAATCTTGCCCAGAACAGCTAGTGGTGAAGGCTTCTGGGAGTTTTAGTCCAAGAACATCTGAGGACCCAAAGTTGGGAACCACTGATCTAGGTGGATGGGGTAATTCCATAGAGGATGCTCATGGTGCAGTGGCTAAACTGCAGTACTGTAGCCAAAAACTCTGCTCACGACCCAGGTTCAGCTCAAGGTTGACTCAGTCTTCCATCCTTCCAAGGTTGGTAAATTCAGTACTAAGCTCGCTTGGGGGTGGGAGCAATGTCTAACCTCCATAATTGAATTGTAAACTTCCCAGAGAGTGCTTTAAGCAATATGGGATGGTATATAAACAACATGCTTTACTTTTTTTAGAGGGATAACAATTTTAGCCTGAAGTGATGGCCCTGGCCAACAAGCTAAAGAACCTACTCCCCTCTTGGGCTTTCAAAACAAACAGCTGACAATATGTTAAGCAGCAGCAATTCTATCCTTCCAAGGTTGGTAAATTCAGTGCCAAGCTCGCTTGGGGGTGGGTGGGAGCAATGTGTAACCTCCATAATTGTAAACTTCCCAGAGAGTGCTTTAAGCACTATGGGATGGTATATAAACAACATGCTTTACTTTTTTTAGAGGGATAACAATTTTAGCCTGAAGTGATGGCCCTGGCCAACAAGCTAAAGAACCTACTCCACTCTTGGGCCTTCAAAACAAACAGCTGACAATATGTTAAGCAGCAGCAAGGGGGGCATGCCAGCCAACTTACCATCAAATGCAGCAGCTAGTGAAGGAGGTCCAGCTAGCATTGACCCCGGGTCACATAAAGCAGGAAGAAACCAGCAATGTTCATAGCACCTCAAACAGCAGTATGAGCAGGTCCCTCACCACTGCAACAATAAGGCAGGCTGTTCTGAGACACTACTGTATCTTGACAAGCATCGCAGGGGCCTGTCCTCTTGATCTGTAGGAAAAAACATTTTCCTTAAGGTCAGCCTACCATTGCTGGGCTTCCCTGAAGTCTACTTCAAGTAAGAGAATGGCATGCTGTGCTCACAGTACTAGGTATACCATGTTTCAATGTGCTGCCCATCCTCCTTCCTCTTTATTCTTCCAACCACTAACTCCAAGATTGTGCTCACTCACTCATGCTGTTGGCACAGTTCCCACCCACCACAGGCCATCTGCTGCTCCACTCTGCCTGCCAGTGCTGCCCAGGGGTATTTGCCCAATTTGCTGGCTACTGTCAAATTTGCTGCTGCAGTTTGTGAGGGTTCAGTTTTGGGCTCCATGTTTGACTCAAAGAAACCAGTAGATTTTTGTTGCTTCAAAATAAGTGAAACATTTATTGGTGTATTTAACCTTAAATGAGTGTCCATAACATGATCTTGAAGCTTGTCTCCTTCTGCCAACGGGTCCTGAAGGGTTTTCAGTCTTTGAACACGAACGAATTCCCATGACTAGCATTCCATGGTCCTGGCAAATCCGAAGAAACCCAGTCTTGGTCCTGGCAAATCCGAAGGAACCCAGTCTTTTATGGTCTGCACAGTCTCGTCATCCCAGGCATCAGTCCACAGGGCTCGTTTCTCTGGGTCTCGATTCTCCCAGGGTCTGCCCTGTAACTTCCTCCTCATCTTTCTTATCCTCCATTCCAGTCTTTCCTTCCTTTCCCTCTCAACTCTCTCCATTTCTTCTCTTAGTCTTCTTCTCCACTCTCTCGCTTCAGCTTCTCCCCAATATGAGGGTCTGGGTGGGATCTCCCTTCTTCTATAGTCCGCCTCCTCCTTAGGCACTCTCAGGCTTTCCCATGATCCAGTCCAGGGATCCTCCATCCGCACCCATTCCCAGCCTGGCGGCAACTGCCCTTCCTTCCTTTTTACCTCCCCTATTCCTGCCTCAGACTCCACCCTCTTTTTCCTTTCCTTTCCCGCCCTTTCCTCTTGGACCTCCTCCATCGTTGTTTTCTGCATTCTTTCACTCAGTTCCTCTATCACTGCCCCTTGCTGAGCTCCCTCCATTGGTTTGGGTGCTGGCTGGGGTCTTGCCTCCTTATCCTCGTTGTGGAAGAGGGACGGCTCTCCAGCGAGTGGGGTATCCCTCTCTCCTTCTGTCTCACACAGTTGCCACTGCATTTGGCAAATGCTGGACTTCTGTGTAAAAGGCAATAGGAAGAAGGTTCTGCCATGTGCATGCACTCTCCTGCTTCCTGTCTATACAAGTAGAAATGATCTAGAGGAGGGCACTAGGTTCGCAGGGCAAACTTTGAAAAGAAGAGCAGGCACTAAGCTCCAGTCTGAATGGACTCTTCTCCATGATTTCTTCAGCATAAAACTACCAGGCAAGCAACTCAGGCAAGACCCCAGCCAGCACCCAAACCAATGGAGGGAGCTCAGCAAGGGGCAGAGTTATGGGCAACCCACCCACACTTTTTTCCCCTCTCTCGGATCACAGT